ATATTTAATTCTGAATTATTATTTTTTTAAATAATAAATAAATATATGACATAAAAATGTAACTATTTGAGTTGTCACTTATCGAAACAGGTCGGAAACAAACAAAAAAATGATCGGTCTAAAGAACAATCTTTAACTATCAGGAGAGACTTCAAAAATATTGACTGGTGAAACTTCTCTGTAAGATTCGAAGTTCCTATTTCTGATATGTAGACAAAATAGACACCTTTCATCTGATAATCGGATTTTCAGATTTCCGATCGGATTTCGTACTCTGATAATAGGATTAAGCAAACACAATTCTGTGAACAATAGATCTTTCAATAGATTTTTTAATAAGTGATCTTATAATTGCGCGTAAGATCTCCTAAATTGTTCCAAAGATATGACAAAATACAAAAAAATAAATAAAAATAAATCAATGAAGAAAGAAAGAAAGAAAAATAAATAAATAAAAATAAATAAATGAAAATAAATAAATGAAAATAAATAAATAAATAAAAATAAATAAATAAAAATAAATAAATAAAATAAATTTAAAAAAAATAAAATAATTAACATTAAGAGTCTCAAACTATTGATCGCTATCCAGGTTAAAGCATCCGGGCAAATTTTACAGATTATAGCCTCTCTTATTTTTTTAAGAGTGTAAAATCTGAATTTTTTTGTTGAAAAAAGTTATGCTCATTCAGAAAAGATTCGTTTTTGTGTTCGATTACTCACTTTAAATATTGTTTGTACTAATTATTTATCATACGTAAGATCTGCAAGTCGAGCTCAAAAATTACATTTTTGTAGGAAAAGTTCTAGTTGAAAAGTGAATAGAGTGTTTCTCTTATTTATTTTACGCACTGTATAGTACACAATAAGAAAAAATAATTATTTTATTTTGTGCGTATTGAATATACTAGGAAAAAGCTCCAAATCTTCATCATACTACAACACAGGTGCTATTTAACATGGAATCGAATGCAAAGGAATATAGTTTATGATACCTTATTGTTATATTGGTATTAAGTTCTTATTTATTTTTCAAACTTTTCATTATTGAACATTTTATGAACCACTTTTTAAAAGTGACATTGATATTTATAAACGTTCTTTAGCTTCTGGCGTTGGAAAACAAATAAATAAATGACCGAAAGGCTCAGTTAATACCGAACTTGTTGATGTTAAGTAAATGGGAGAAAAAAAAATCTTTGAGAACATTTGATCGAAACTAAATTGCAAATGATTACTTCTCTTTCAGTTAACTATTTTTCAGTTTCTTTGCAAAATTTAATTTTATTTCCAAAAAGAACTGAATAAAATTTAAGGCTTTTTTTTTGGCCATGAAAAAAATTGGTTAATTTCAAATCAGTCATAAAAGTGACTTAATTTTAAATATACCGTAAGAAACTGGGTCAATTTTTAATGAATCATAAGATTGAGGTCGATTTTAAATCAATTGTAGAAAAAAAATCGATCAGTTTCAAATCAACTGTAAGCCAATCACGTTCATCTGTGATTTCGGAGAATATGCCGAACACCTACAATCGCCTACACCTCACAGGAAAATACCCTGTTTCCATGGCAACTGGCGACCCCCAGCAGACGAGGTGTCTTTTGCAACTGAGCAAGCACCTTAGCTCCCGGATTTGGATCGATATTCTAGAACCTTTTCCTTTGACTCTTTGGAATTTGAAAAAGCTCTTTCCGTCTCTCAAAGGGGGGGATTTGTAATATTTTGGGTAGATGTACTTTTAAAGAATTAATTTGATACAGTATGTTTAAATATGAAATCTTTTATTATTTTTAAAGAATTAATTTGATACCGTATGTTTAAATATGAGATTTTTTATTATTTAATTTGATACTTTCGGAACTTTATTTTGAGATATAGTTTTTTCTTCCCTTTTATAATTTTGTATCCTCACTCATGTAAAGGTCACTGCATTTTTGTAAATAAGAAAATTTGATTTTAAACGAATTATTTGGAGGCATAAATAATCTTGAAGCCTTTAATATAACTTTATGCTCACAGATTATTTTGGGAAAGAACTTGTTAACGTACTTGGGAAATTACAGAGGGCTGCCATTATGTTATTCCAGGGAATAAATTTGATACTCTATCTTTAAAATGAAAAAAATTAAAACTAAAGTACAATTTTTAATTTCTAATGAAAATCCTTCTCTTTATATTTTTGGAAACTTTATTTTGTAAAATTATTCTTTTTCTCTTTATTTTGATGTAGTAACTTTTCAAAGATTATTATGTGTTATTACTTTTTTTTTAATGTAAATTAAAATTAAATACTTGAACTGATATTTAAAAATTTAAAGACAGAAATATATTTCTTAAAAATGATGTCTAATTAGAATAATATGACAACTAATAATATGCCTGATAATGATACAAAAACTAAATCCAATAAACATAACGATAAAATATAAGAAAAGTATTTTAATGAAAAATTTTTTTAGTAAATTGCACTTAAGTTTGCATAGTTTTAGTATTAATACTAAAAAAATCAATGACATAATATATTTTAAGTTAAATAGATAAGCTTTTTTTCTTTTCTTTTCTGATATTTTATACATCTGTTACGAACATTATGTATCCACTTTTTCTCAAATTATAAATGAAGTAAAAACATGCTTAAATACATATTGTAATGGTTCATTAAAAAATACATTAAAATTATGATAATTTAATACATTATAATTACTCTTTGCACCCAATATATATCGAAATAATTAAAATTGCAGAAAATGTATCTCTGTCAATAATCAATATTAGATGACCCAATTGATTATTGATTTCACTCACTGATTCTTCAAGGTCTATGAGGTCATGCATATCAATAATGATTCCTCATTAATCGATGAGTATTATACTTCGAAATTTAATGTGTTTACTTTATAAAATCAGAATAAATTAATATTGGAAGTGAACAATTATCTTAAAGGTATTGAATAATTAATTAGTAGATGTTGATATAATATTTTTTTTTGGGGGGGGAGATAATATATTACATAAGAATAAATGCTTCATATTCTGGGAAATTTAGATGAAAGCAATAATTTATAAAAAATTGTGTATAGTTTGGAATTTATTTTTTAAAATTCATTACTTTTCGCGTAGTTAAACTTTAAAAATGTTTATTTTCAATATCACTTTATGAAAAATTTACATAACTAAAGTTTGTTTTACGACATAAAAAAATTGTAACAAACTGTGTAATAATAACAATCCAGAGGTATTATAAAAAAATAGACCCTTTTCTACTAATTGATTCTTTCCGATTGTTAATAATACAGAAAAATGATCCGAAATTTTCCTGTTTTACAATTTAGCTTCAAATACCACACATTTTAATGTATTAAAAGTGTAGGACTTTCATTCAGAGTTATTATTATTATTTTTTTCATTTTTTTTTTCAAAATGATTATTTGTTAAAATTTTAAGTTATATTAAAATGACTTGATGATTCAAGCTTTAACGAAAAACCAAATTTCATTCTATAGCAACAATTTATAATATTAAGGATGAAAAAAAGAAGAAAATTCCTTTTTCTACTAACGCCTGTTTGTAAAAATCTATATAAAAAGTTTTTTGATCTACTTCATTTAAACTTTTTGAAAAAAAAGTGTGAGGAAAAAATTTAAAAAATATTAAAATTTAAGAAAAAAGGATAATCAAATGGCAGGAAAAAATTTGAAAAATTATGTAGAATAAACTATTCTGTTAAAAAAGAAAATCATTTAAAATGTTATAAGTTGAAATACAAACTTAATTTAAATTTTCATTTCCTTTTAATGTCAACTTTTGAGAAAAGCATTCTGTCTAATATGTTATTTTTTAATAATAAAAAATCTAAGAATCAACTTGTTCATTATAGCAACCTTAAGGTCATATTTATTAAAAGAACAAAAATCCCTCTAAAACAATCTTAAAGCACACACACTACAGAAAAAAAAAACTTTTTTTTAAAAAATTATAATCTTTAATCAGTTAAACAAAGTAACTTGAGCAGTAGACAACAGTTAAAACATTTTTTATCCTTGTACTAAATATTAAAATAATTTTCTATTTTCTAAATTGGGAAGTGATAGAATTCTTTTTTTTTTCTTTTTTGTAATTGACTAGCGAAAATCTAATTACATTATTAGAGCAGACGATATTTAGTTTTTCTGCTTTTACTTTTTATTAAGGATTTGTTTGATTTCTATTCTCTCTTAATCGAAATTTAAATGGTGAAAAATGATGAGTTCTAGAATATCTTTTGCTTTTTTTTATTAGAAAAAGCTATTTTACTTTTGTTATTAAAGTGGAGGATAACTAATTCATATTTATTCATTCTCTTCATTAAATAATAAAATGAAGCATTTCTTACAAGATCGAAAACAGGATTGAAAATAGTGGGAAATAATCTAAACCTCTTATTGGAAAATCTTTTTTTTTTAATTTGATAAAAGAGATTCTGTTTCCATCAATAAAGCAGACGATATTTAATTTTTTTCCATTAATTAATAAAATGAAACGTTTCTTTCAAAATCGAGAAGAGAATTTAAAATGGTGGAAAATAATCTAGACATACATCTAGATTTTTTTCCTTCGAATTAACAAAATAAATTCCATTTAAAGAGCAATTCAGAAGAGTAGTTTCATTAATAAAGCAGACTATGTTTAATTTATTTTTCTTTTTTCATGAATTAATAAAATCTAACATTTCTTTCAAAATCGAGAAGAGAATTTAAAATGGTGGAAAATAATCTAGACCTCCATCTAGATTTTTTTCCTTCGAATTTACAAAATAAATTCTACTTAAAGAGATTCTACTTTCATTAATAAAGCAGACGATATTTAATTTCTTTTTTTCATTAGTTAATAAAATGAAACGTTTCTTTCAAAATCGAGAAGATAATTTAAAATGGTGGAAAATAATCTAGATTTTTTTTCTTTCTAATTAACAAAATAAATTCTACTTATAAAGCAGACGACCTTTAAGTTGTCTTACCTGCCTGGATGGAAAAGGTGGATGTAAAAAGGAGAAGCAACCATTTACCGAAAGTTGGTTGAAGAGCGGCCATGGTGGTGAAAGCCGCTTCCAGGGAAAGAAGATGGTTGCTGTAGCAGGTCACAGATGTATGACCTTGCAGCTATGAATTCGCCAGAATGTACTAAAGATGTGGATGAATATTACCTTGTTTTTTTTTTCGTTAAAAATGTTAAGTTTGTGTTTGTTTCAATAAATTTGAACTTAGTTTTAATGTTACAAAAAATGGAACAGAATTTTGAACCTAATTCCAGAGATTAGATATGGAGCTGCCTTAAAAGACGTGATCGCGCTTGGAGAAGGAGAGTTCTTGAAAAGGGTCGCGCATGCGTTTTGCCGGAGGGTGATAGGCGAAATGCCCGGATGCGACTGCTGCTGCCTGGATCGATAATATGGAGAATGCTCTGGAGTGCGGGAAAAGGTTCCGGTGACTTTCTAGCCTATCATGAGTATCAGATATTATTTTTTCTGTCGCCATTACACCGCAGTTAATAATACAAATTCTTTTACATGAAACTATTCAAAACATTTTAACAAGAACATCATTAGCATAGTATTCTTTTTTTATGCATAAGTATGATTTATTTTTGCATATACAGTTCCTCGCCAAATTATTAGACGCACTTTGTAAAATCTTAATAATTTATGTCAGTGTTTCCCAATCTTATGACTTTTGTGTACCCTTTCTAAATTTTTCTCAACGCTGTGAACCATTAATAAAAAAATGAATGTATTTTTTAAAAAAATATGTTTATTTTTCTTTTTTGGTACAAAGTTTTGTAGATACTAACCAGCGATCCATATTCTATGTTAAAAATGAAAATTATGTTTCTATATTAAAAATAATCAAAATTCAAACAATCAACAATCAAATCAATTATATAATTATAATAAAACTAATCAAAATAAGTAGAATTTATTACGAACCTTTACTATAAAAAATTGCACAAAAGTGAAAAATCACAACTGGCTGTTGACACCACTCATTATTAACTGTTAACTCTTCATAAAATAACCAATAGAAAAATACGTAATCGTAAATTTTCTTTGTTTTTAAATAAAACTTTTTGCAATTTTCGTTCGCATAAGATATTTCGCATAAGAACGCTTTGGGAAGCACTGATTTATGTAATCACTTATCCACATCTATCCTTATCACACCACAGTTGTGTAACTTATTAAAAACGTATTTACTTTCTCTAACAAATTAGAATGTTTGACCATTTTTATTCCGAACATGGATAGTTTAAATTAGTGGATAGTTCGAAATGGTAATAATTCGCCTAGAATATTCTATTTCAATTAAAAATAAAATTTAATATTTGATTTCGAAATTTTCTCATGACTTTTGTTATTTCCGAAAGTCTATTAAAAAGAAGTTTACAGAACAAAATTCTAACAACAGAAGATTTTTTGAAAACGTTCTATGTTCTCATTGGTTTTGATACGAATATGATCAAAAATAGATTTCTAAATATCAAAGAGTATTAATATAAAAGAGTACTAATATAAGACAGTTTAAATATACAGTCCCTGGAAAAATTATTAAACGCACTGTAGTATTCTATGCAAAATCTTTATCATCTGGTGGTACTGTACAGCTTTATTGTTTTTATCTGACTGTTTGCACTTGCTTACGTTAGTGTTTCCATTGGTTACATTAGGCAATATGTAGTATAAATTCGACTATAGGAAAAATTAGACGATAGATTATATAAATATAGAATATTTATTATATCAAGCATTGTATTAGTATATTATAATAATTAGATCAAATTATTAGATGAACTGTAGTGTTTTTAATAATGACATGATTTGCACGAGTTTATAGGCAATACTTTTATATTTAAACATACATGTAATCGGTTTTTATTCAGGAGATTTTTTATATACTTCCTATTTGCATTTATTTTGAACGTATTGAATTACAGTGATATCCTATTGATATACGAACGTAAACAAGTGCAAACCGGTTTCAGTGGCGTAACAACAATACAGCTGTATAGAGTATCACCTGATAACTGAGATTTTACATAGAATCTTATACTGCTTCTACTAATTTGGAAGTAGCATGTAAATAGTAGTAATTCTCTTTATTTAAAAAATTACCACTATTTTGCATTAAAAAATCCTAGTTTCTATTTATTTTAGTACAGCGACCTGATTTTGAGTTTCCCAGTACCACTAGTACAGTTTTACTACCAGTTTTCAAGATGAAAAAGTATTTCAACCTCTATGGTGCTTAATGGAGAATTATTACCTTGAAATAGAGTTTCTGGACTTAAGAATAGAGACAGACACTTAAATTGACTCAGACAACTTAACATGACGTTTTTTCAGAAAATAACAGTTAAATAATTAGATTTTTAAGAAGAAAAGTTAATTATTTGTGTGAGGGTTGTTTTTGTGATTGCTGTGAAATAACCCACTAACGTAATGAACGTCTTTTTAAGTAATCGTCCACCCTAATTCTGCCTTTCATTAACGCCACCAACACCTTTATAGACTCCAACATAGGACATGATTTTATTTTATTTCATAACCGTCGTTGAACAGCCGACTCAATTTCATGGGTTTACGACTACTAATGTTCTACTCCGTAGCCTTGTCATTTTGAACCCAATCCAGAAGACAAAGGTATTGGAAGAAATTTGCCTTCGTAAAGGACTTTTTGATGGAGCTAACCCGCATTTGCGTTACATGGAGAGGAAGACCACGAGAACTTCCCACGGTTAGCCTGACGGCATACAGCATGATTTTATTTTATTTTATATCCGTCGTTGAACAGCCGACCTAATTTTTGGGTTTACAACTACTAATGTTCAACTCCGGAACCCTGTAATTTTGAACCCAATCCAGAAGACAAGGGAACTCCTGGATCAAGTATCGGGGAGAAATTTGCCTTCGTGGAGGATTTTTTGATGGAACTAACCCGCATTTGAGTTACAGGGAGAGGAAGACCACGAGAACCTCTCACGGTTAGCCTGACGGCAAGGGGACATACATACAACATGATTTTTTTTTTATAACCGCCGTTGAACAGCCGACCCGATTTCATGGGTTTACGACTACTTACGTTCAACTCCGTAGCCTTGTCATTTTGAACCAATCCAGAAGACAAGGAAACTCCTGGATCAGTACCCCCAGAGGTATTGATTTGTTGTGGGAACATGGAGGACTTTGAGACTCGACAGATTTAACGTGCATCAGTCACCATTTACTACACGGGGAATCTTCGGCCGGCGAGGATCGAACCCACGACCTCTTGGATATGGGCCCAGCGCCCTACCGACCAGGCTATCCCGGCCCTTATATAACATGATTAACATTTTTATAGATGCGTTGCCAACATCAGGAACATCTTTACAAAGAACCATTGTACATACAGTCGCTGGTCAAATTATTAGTCGCACTATAAGATTGTATGTAAAATTATAATTATCATGTGATACTATACACACTTTTATTGTTTTTACTCGGATTGTATAAATTAAACGATTTATAATATTAATCAGAAAACGATTATAATTAAATCCGATTTATAATATTAATTCGTCGATTGTATAAATTAAACGAAATGTTATATAAATATAGAATATTTATTATATATTAGTATTATATTAGTATATTGTAATAATTAGATTAGATCAAATTATGAGACGCAATGTAGTGTTGTAATAATGACATGTTTTGCACGAGTTTGTATGCAATACTTTTGTATTTAAACATACATGTAATTGGGTTTTTACTCAGGAGATTTTTTATATACTTCCTATTTGTATTTATTTTTAACGCATTGCATTACAATGTTAACCCATTAATACAGGAGCGTAAACAAATGTTCATACGAGTAAAAACAGCTGTATAGAGTATCACCTGATAATTAAGATTTTACATAAAATCTTAAGAGTGCCTCGAATAATAATCTTCATAAATATCTCCCCCTTCACAATTACCATCTTTGAAATATAATCATACCGCATAATTAATGTCTTCATAAATAACCATGCATCCTTCATAATTATCATTTTTCAATATTGACCCTCCCATAAACTTAGCTAGATAATCATCTGATGTATTTAACATTTTCATAGATAGCTCTCCAACATCATATGTTTATAGATAGTCAAACCCCTTTATTTCTCATTTTTATAGATAACTCTCCTACATATTTAAAATATTTATCGATAACCATTCTATATATTCAACTATATATTTTTATAATACCATTCTATCCAATTTTATTGAACATTTTAAAGCCTGTAAGAGAAAATTTAACAACCAAAAATACGCTAGTGAGGAAAATTGAAAGGAAAAATGATTTTTTTCCAGTAAAAAAAAAAAAAAAAAAACTAACAAAGCATATAAAACCANAAAAAAAAGAAACTAACAAAGCATATAAAACCAATACCTGGTCAGAATATCATGGGATATAAGACCAATATATGAGTAAACAAGAATGGGCACAACATGGTCACGGCTGCACTGTGGGCCAGAAGACCATTGTCTTTGACCAAAAGTCAAAAATTAAATTTTCAACTAAAATATGTGTAGGCAGTTTTAATATAGACCAAATTAACTATTCATAAATATTCAAAACATTATAATTTGGACCGACGAGAGTACAATGCAGTGAATAATATGTTTTTTTTAAATGTTACTTTTAAATTTTTATTTCAGAAATATATATAGGAGTTTCACCTTACTGTTACATTTTCATCAAAGTAATTAGTCTGAAATGAAAGTAAATTTTTTCTATTTGTTGGATTAGTTAATAGTCTTGACAAACTTATAGTTTATATCTTATCATTTGACATTTTACAATGTTTGAATCACTTTCGAAACTTATCTTCAAAAAGTTCCACGAGGTCATTAGCTAAACTTTTTTTTGTTGTCTTCTTTCATGTTTCTTCTTTCGATAAAACCTGCCCTATTTTGCCCGTATTGCAAAGGGTGAACTAAATATACCAAAAAGCAAAAGTTATGTTTTCTTTTTCATGTTTTCGCCTTATTTTGTAATTAATTCGTGTTATTTTGTGATATTACTTTGGAAATATAATTTGCTTTCCATTTTTAATGTAAAATTACGAAAATTGTTATATTTTCATTGCTATATTTAATTATAGAAAAGCACCAAATTATTTTTTTTGTTATTTTTGCTCGTAATATTTCAGTCGCCACTTTGTTTTTTTTTTTT